AAAACACATTTAGGCACAAGTGGCAACAACGTTGCCACACTACACAACAGAACATTACTTGAACAATTCCAGTGCTGTCATTGTATCGTGTCACCCTACCTTGATTGCTATATTATTTCCTTTGTTCTCATTTTGTTCTTTAGTACAACGGTGATTCCTGAAGAGTGTTGTACGAAAACTTGTTCGAATCATCTTTTTTTTCCATTGCCCTTTTTCTTCTTACATGTATTTTTCCTTACCCTTTAGGTTGTTTCTTGCATCTTCTCCATCGCTTACATTGTTAATAAAGTAGTCCACATGTCGCTTCAGCTCGTCCTACTTATTGCCATATTAAAATTATTGTCTCCTCGTCGAATTTTTAAAATAATATTAATAATAATAGTACGAAGTAGTGGTTGCGACTTCGGCGATGACTTGTAAGAAAGGGTTTGCTCCCCACACCGGAGCTCGCGCTATTCCGCCGACTTTACTTGACACTTGACTGACTCACGACTGCCATCCAGAGCACACCAGAAGTCCATCGAACCTTCGACTCGGCAAACCTGCAAGAAAGCACCACTCCCTGCTCAATACACAGTGTTTCGGGGAATTCACCCCTCATCAGTTGAGCTTGAGTAGGCTGAGGAAGATTGTGCCTGAAGAGCACCACTTATATAGTGCTCTCCAGGTACAAACATCACCAGGGATACAAACTTACAGAGACGCTCCGCTTCCAGCGCGATAAACACCTCGTGAACACCAGATAGCAGCGTGAGTCAGTGTCGCTCCTGGACGGTGAGACCAGACGTTGAGGACCCTCGGTCATTCGCAACGCTGTCACCTCCAAACCAACTAGTCGCAAGCCCGCGCTGGGCACAACAGTACGAAGTAGTGGTTGCGACTTCGGCGATGACTTGTAAGAAAGGGTTTGCTCCCCACACCGGAGCTCGCGCTATTCCGCCGACTTTACTTGACACTTGACTGACTCACGACTGCCATCCAGAGCACACGAGAAGTCCATCGAACCTTCGACTCGGCAAACCTGCAAGAAAGCACCACTCCCTGCTCAATACACAGTGTTTCGGGGAATGCACCCCTCATCAGTTGAGCTTGGTGTTCACGAGGTGTTTATCGCGCTCACACAAAGTGACTGTCAACGGTAGACTACGGGTAAACAACTGAGCAGTTATCAATGGTTATGATTTTCTGACGGGATTCAAAGGTGGTAAGATTGTCAGACATGACAAGTCGCCTTGAACTGTGAACGGGTAGGACTAAAGGGACAAGCCCAACTTTTTTTTGCAGTTTTCTGTCATAAACACTTGTCCGTGGCCGTTGTACTGGAAATCTGTGGCAGAACCTTGCCATGCCAGAGGCTACACACACCCGGGTAACTATACCGGGATAGACAAATCCTTGCCCTTGGTGTTGCTCCTTTAATTTTTATTTGTTCTTGCTGAGAAAGAAACGTTGCTGCTTGGAAAGCTTTCTGTTCACTCCAGCGACTTTCCTCTAGTAGTATTGCTCACTGATAATGATCATAGCTCGTGATGCCAATGGTGAAGAGAAGCTGGGTTTCTTGCCATTTGCAACTTCCTGGCTCTGAAAATATAGCTTGAACAAATAAGAGCTCCAAGTATGTTAGTTTTAGATTTCGATGTGCCAGACCTATCGTTACAAGATGCAGAGATGAGGAGCAAGGGAGGCGTTGGATTAATGCCAATAATGGTGTTTATGGCCCAGACAGCGCCAGCGATTTTCACTTGTCAAGAGGACAGTCAAGTTGGAGCAGGCAGATGACAGATTATTTGAGCATTTATGGCGGAGTGGGTGGTTTGCTAAAGAGAATCGTCTCAGTACCTCATGGTTACTAGTATCTGACAAACGCCTCTTATTGCTAGTCTGCATTAGAGCATAGCAGAATTGATCATGTTACAAGTAGTGTCAAGACGTGATGCCCTACGATTATACTCAGATCATGTTGTAACTTCACTGGAATATCCGTCCTGCCACTTTACGCTCTCCCAAAATTGCCTGCTGGAGTCACGTGCCTGTGCAAGGGACAATGCGTTTGCATTGCTTACGGATGCAAGCGGATGGAGTGTAGACCAGATGAGAAAAAGTGATCCGGATATTCAACTACCTTGGACCGCCATTATAAATTTGCCTGATGCCTGGACTATCTGAGCATTGCTCCAAACCGATCCACAGAAGCAATACCCACACAGGAAGCCAAATGATAAACCCATTCATCAGCTATCGAACCTTTCATCAAAACATAATGCAGTGCATGCCTACTACTATGGCGTTTGCGCTGGCTTGGACACGTGGCACGGATGGAAGATCAGCGGTTGCCGAAGTGTGTTCTCTTCGGTGAACTGCCTGCCCCGCGCCCTGCGCGTGATCCACGCAAGAGGTGGAGGGACGTCGTTATGCATGACTTTGCGTCGGTTGAGCCACCGGTACCAACATGTGGATGGTACGATGCAGCCCAGAACCATCCGGAGTGGCGTGCCATTGCCCGTCGACCACCCAAGGCACCCTCTGCTGCTGGCTACGGTTGCGCCTGCGGCCGCATGTTCCGTCGAAGCGGCGACCTGAAACCGTATACCGTATGACACAGCCACTAGTTAAAAATTCAAAAACACAACTTTCGCAGCATACAATGCAGTTGACAGATCAATTTTCATCCACTAGCAATCTTTGAAGTGATATCTATCAACTTCAGAACATTGATGACCGAATATCTCAGTTTTTGATGCCGTTTTACACATTTGTTAAATAATGACACACCAATGATTTGAATCCTGACAATACTATGAAAGTAGGGCATGGTTCAAGACACTTTCCAAGTGGGATCATTCCCATTTTTTGACACAACGGGCATGAAGGATAGCACGTCCACCTGCAACAATTCATTTGGACGTAGCTTGCCTAGAAGTGGCTGAAAAAACGTCATTTTACGACCATGTTAAAAAAAGCCAAATCACCTCGCACTGGTTAAGCGAGCTAAAAGAGAGATCCTTGGAATGCATGCAGGGCGATAGTCCAGTAAAAACTTATATGTATGCGAAGTGTATCGGGGGAATGCATGCAGGGCGATCGTGCAGTAACGTCTGACGCTAGTCAGGGTCAGAACTTAAAACAGAACAGAGGTGTAATGCAGTAACGTCCGGCGCTAGCCAGGGTCCACAAAAGGTTATAATGTATGCGAGGTGTATAGGGGGAATGCATGCTGGGCGATGGTGCAGTAACGTCAGGCGCTAGTCAGGGTCAGAAGTATAATGCAGTAACGTCTGGCGCTAGCCAGGGTCCACAACGAGTTGTATGTATGCGAAGTTTATAGGGGGAATGCATGCAGGGCGATGGTGCAGTAACGTCTGGCGCTAGCCAGGGTCCACAAACACAGTGTACAAGTGAGAGTCGTTATATCGAGAGCAGACCACTTTACGACTAATAATTTTCTTCAGTACATACACAACCTCGGAGAGCAAAAGTCTCCATAAGGTGCCACATTATTATTATTATTATTATTATTATTATTATTATTATTAGAAAGGGTTTGCTCCCCACACCGGAGCTCGCGCTATTCAGCCATGGCTACCACTATGCGAGCTGTTCGTGCGCATATTCCTCTGATACAATTCCGGGCTGGACTCTCAACTCGGAGAAAAGATACTGCTCCAGCATCAGCGTCAGGTGAGTTTGAAACATTTTCTGTTTTCAAAAAAATTCCAAGTGTTTGTACAGTACTCACCCCAACCATGTATTGTTTAGTACAGTAAATTGATGTTGTATTCCGTCATGTTTTGTGATGGTGCGAAGTTCTTTCTCTCCTTCTACTTGATTTTTCTTGATGACTTGTCCCCCTTGATTCTTGATGCTTTCCTTGTTTGGAAAATAATTCTCGCTTCTTAGCCATCTGCACGCACTTCATGCATCGCTTGACCTTCCACGCATTGATGATACTATTGCGTAATTCGATGAATGGCGAATATTGTGGTTGTGATCTTCTGATGTCGGGGACTTATTTTGTGGATGTGTCGGCGCTATTTGAGGGGTCTTTGTCGAAATAATTATGCGAGTGATTTAAAAAAATACGCTTGCAGGCTCTTTTAAAACTGGCCTTGATGTAGGTACCAGTGCCTTTGGGTTACTAGTATTCGTGTATTCGATAATAATTTTTCAAAAAACCGTCCAGCTCAGTAGTGCTCAGTGCTGTGAGCGGAATAGTCCCGCATTGAACTAAGCCCATCAGTAGCATAGCATCGCAGCCATGTTTTCGTTCTCACAAAGTGTATTCCGTGACATACTGTTCTTCACTATTGTCTTTAGTGATGTCAAGACGGCCTGACCTCGTCCGAAGGCCCTGCGGAAGCAATTCACTGCCCCCTCGTCCATTCAGGCGCTTCTTTTACACATTTTACACAAAATGGCAAAGCACCCCCCCCCCCACTATTTTATTTATACCGACGTGGCAGGGAGAATTAAATTATATGCACCAAATTTTCTGGTCAATGTTGATCTACGATAAACTGGCTCTCATTTGCCACCACCCATGTTTCGATACAGCTATCCGGAGCAGAGAAAAAGCCAGAAGAAAAGCAATTTTTACAAATTCGTTAAAAATGCCAAATGTAAAAAAAGCCAAATCACCTCGTATCGTGTCTAAACTATGCAACTCTTGAATGCTCGATGCACTGCACTATCGGCCTGCATGCATTCCCCCGATACACTTCGCATACATACTCATTCGGCACTCTTGATGGTACGGTACTCTTGATGGTACGGGACAGGTACGGGATAGCGCCAGACGGAGGTGCGTCTGTCACAAACAAACACCAAATTAAAGCTGTGTGGACCCTGGCTAGCGCCAGACGTTACTGAAGTAACGTCTTCTGCATAGCTACGGGAATAACATGTTTCATATTACAATGGATATTTACCTGGAATGGTTCTTCACTTTCTGCTTCACAGTTTGTTGATTGAACAAGAAAGATGCCTACATGTACATTGTCATGCCTGACACACTACGGGATAGTATTGCCACAACGAGAAAAACTGGAAATGAGCTTAGGCAGATACATGTACAATGTCATGCCTGACACACTACGGGATAGTATTGCCACAACGAGAAAAACTGGAAATGAGCTTAGGCAGATACATGTACAATGTCATGTACATAGCGAATGGCTTAGGCAGGGTGAGGGAGGAGAGGGAGGAGGGGGGGGGCAGATCTAGAGAAGAGGCAGTAAAAAAAGCAGGTAGAATTGTACCTAAGAGTATGCTAGCGTTGATAGTAACTTGTTACCATGCTTGGGTGAGCTATTAGAGCAGCTCTGGATCTGGCAGATGAAAACGACACTATGCAACGTGCACTGGACACAGCAGTCACGGGAAACGGCAAAATGGCGGACGTGGGGGAGCGATACGGCTGCAGAACAAGTGCGAAACTATGCTGGACTCATAACTAGAATAAGTGAGAAGCAGTGACAGTGTGGATCCAACAGCATGCAAGAAAGTCGAGCAAGCCTATTCATATAAATTCAATTGAAAAGGAAGAGCAAGAAGCTGTGCATCAGAAAGGTATCAGCGGCTGTGCAGGGGAGGGGACCTGAGTATGCACACATGCCTTTGCGTGTACAATGGGCTGTACAATGGACACCGGGCAGGGAGGGGAAAGGGGTGGGGGGGGGGGGAGGGTGGGGGGAAGGGTGGGTGTGGGGGAGAGGGGGGGGTGTGTGGGTGGGCCACAGTACACACACCTACCTGTACTCTGGACACTGGGCAGGGCCTGGGCGAGGAGCGGGGGGGGGGGGGGAGGTGGGGGGAGCAGACATGTATTGTTTTGTGAAATACAGCAGGGTGCATTCAAAAGGCGATGTGGAAATGGGAAACACGCAGCAAGCATATTCCCTGCATTGAGATCGAAATGACCTATACATACTAATAGAATCAAGAACAAGAAATAAAGCTAAACAGGAAATAGAGCTAAACAAGAAATGGAGTTAAACAAGAAATAAAGCTAAACAAAGCAACAGTAGTTAAAAGAACAATCCAGAACTAAAGCTGTAATCAGTATACTAATCTGCATAGAAGGATACCTTGGAAAATGAATTGGAGAATGAATTGGAGAATGAATTGGAGAATGAATATACGTAATAGGAGGGCAGAAAACAAAGAAGAAAAGGCGGAATGGAACCAAGTACAGCATTATCACATGGCATGTTTGGCGGAACTAAACCTGCGGCTACTGGTGATCTGAGGTCTTATATACAACAACCGCATGCACGCCTTCCTGATGTCCATCTGAGACACACGCGGCGTAACTGGTGGCATTAGGAAGTCGAGTCAGTCGGATGACTTGGCAGAGCTACTACAGAACAAACAGAGAAGGTACAAATATGCACACGACAGTTACAACATTTCGAAAACAGTACAGTACGGATATTCGTCCAGCAGTGAAGTTTGAGTGTGAACTGTGTGTGTGTGTGTGTGCGTGTGTGCGTGTGTGTGTGTGTGTGTGTGTGTGTGTAGTGCAGCCAGGGACTCACCCGAACAACGCCTTGATTTTGGAAAGACGCAACGGACAGACGGCGCGCGTGAGCTTGATCAGATCACTCGTGTATGGTGGGGCAGTCCGCTTACTCATCCAGTAGTGAAGAATAGCCTTAGCATCACGGTAATCAGGTGCATCTTGACGGCGGCGAAATGAGTCGATAATCAGTTTCTCAAAGTTCTCACTCCTTCCAGTCACTTCCTCCACAATCGAACACGCCAGATCATCTAGAGATTAACAGACGGAGGGTGGGGGGGGATCCACCATAAACAAGGCAACATGTTACAACATCATGCCTACAGCATCATAACACCTTGGATGCACTATGACAACACCATGGCAAAGCCATGACAACAGCATCACACCGCCATGGCAACAGCATCACACCACCATGGCAGCAGAATCAAAACACAGTTGCATGTATGTTTTGGAAGAAGGATCCACTAGGTGATTTCGAACTCAGCACCCGTATGTTTCCGGGACAATACCCCACTGATTAGGTTACCAGGGATCACACACAATAGGGGCTCCTTCTTCCTACGCTAGCGCTAGAATACCATGGTAACGCTATGACAAAACCATAATTGGTTACGGCTTGGAATCACCATGGCAGCACATTACCCTGCTCTACTAGCGGCACCATAAAACAGAAAGCAAACTTCCAAAGGAAATTAGCAGGGGCCAGCTGGTCGAAAACCAAATATACCATCCGAACAACCTATGCCCACCCACCTCGTTCCTCCTTGCTGAAAATCTCATTCAGCTGGCTGCAGAAGCTGACCTGATCATCGATGTCCTCCAGCTTTCTCCTGTAGGCGTTAATGCATCAACAGGGAATTTAGAAGCAGACTGTGGCTTACTGCACCGCACACTGACAGCATTCAACATCTAGCCAGTGGGAAAGTGCTGCATACTAGACTCAGATCCTAGCAGCTGGCATAACGCACAGACTCCATTGCGGGATTAGATTCGCTGCTATTCAACGCTACATGTAAATGAAGCAAAGTAGATCTACCCAGTGAGAGTATGAACAGAGACCAGGCTGCGACTCGGACTTCCAGTCTTTCATTGTGTGCACAGCACATGTACAACAGTAAAACCTGTAACTAAAGACCACCTTGACCAGCGACCAGCCTGGTACTACTGACCACTTCGCCAGGCACGGACGGTCTCACATTCATATTATGGTTGTGGGGTGCAAACCTCTAACTAAAGACCACCTGCCACTAAAGACCGCTTTCTCTGGCCCCAAGGGGTGGTCGTTAGTCAAAGGTTCTACTGTATACTGTAGTATTGTGCGATGATAGCAGATTCACATGCAGTAAGGAAGTTAAGTCAAGACTTGCATGTGTGGAATATATACACTTCACACACCCATGGAAGCGTGGTGTGACAACATGCATGAAGTGAACCCATTGACTTGTCACATTGCGATGCAGTGATGCGGTGTCATTACAAATCACCCAGGAAAAGGATCTTAAAGGACATTCATTCGTACCTTTGTTAGCGTCAACAATGTTTTCCTCGTATTGCCGAAAATTGTGTTGGTTTCAGCCCTCTTAAACTATGCAGTATGGACTTAACAACCCAACACGGGCCAAACAATCCGGCGTGGGCCACAAAACTTCAAAGCAGGTGATATGCTATGGTCATGATTGGACCTGCCAGCATGATTCAGATGAGAAAGGTACAGGGAGGTAAATCAAACTCACCCGGACTCTGTCACGGAGGCTCCTGGGATGAACTGAAGTGTAGATACCTGCGGAGTTGGCCCTCCACGAGCGATCGCACCTTTGGACGGACAAACAAATTTCCACAACACGCAAACAAATATCGTCTTGAAGCCTGGCATGGCTAGCTACAGGGAAAGCACCTTGACTTCACCTAACATCAGCTACTTGGACTGCAGATTACAGCCATCATACCATAGCCCTGTTGGCCCTCAGTTCCATTGCAACGACTGCCTAACAACTGCAGCCAGCTGCTGATGCCAGCAGACGAGTGTTGTCAACACCCCCATGGTTCCTTGGCAGCCCATCTGATTCCTGCTGATAGCCTATAAAATGTATAGTGGTTGCACAGCTGTTTTGCATGAATTCTGGCATTATGCGAGGCCTTTTCACTGCCAGCGTGCTTGCAGCTTCAATTGAAATAAATGTATACACCAAATATGGGAATGTATTGCAACTGTACTCTTCAATTCCCATGTGTTCCCCTCAAAAGACAGGGAGCGACAAAATTGTGAATGTCTGGCTTCTATATGAGGAAACTTGGAATCGTCTTGTCTTATGTGATGATCATTGCAAAAAAGGATCATTATTCTAATGGGCTCATAATACTTACTGCATGTGGCACCAGTGCTGTCAGTGTCAGGCGACACTAGCACTTGCAGCTTGGTCCGCACTTCCACAAAGTTGTAGCCAAGGTCCGCAAGGACCTCGAGGAACAGCTTGAATGTCCTACGCCCACCACCAGAAGCAGCCCATAGCAATTGCTCATTGTGATCAGCTCGAAGATTGGTATCCATCAGCCTTTTGTAGAGAGCCTCTGTGATCAGCCCCTTTGAGTTTGCTGCCAGTCGAGTCGGCTGTGGGTCCAGTGTTTCCACGAACCACTGATGCCATCTCTTGTAGCGACCATCACACCAAGGATTCACTAACAAGATGAGGAAATATGCAGTAAAGACAGAACGACATTTATTGTGATGTCCAGTTTGCAAGGAACATAGACAAGGGAGGATATTTCACTGGAAGAACCGCAACTACTGTGAAAGAAAACTGAGCTCGAAATGCACACAAGCATTGCACTCAAAATAATGTGCTCACCTATCACATGTCTCTCTCTTTCTCTCTCTCTCTCTCTTTCTCTCTCTCTCTCTCTCTCTCTCTCTCACTCTTTCTCGCCTTGCAAACACACATGCTCACAGTCAATTCTGCCATCGGGAGTCACATAATAATTTTGTCAGCCAAGTCTAAAACGCTGTGTCTCCATTACATAATATCCGACTAGGTTAGCGGTAATTCGTGTCACTCACCACCATCATCCATTCCGGCAGCGCCGTCATCAACTAAGCGACACAAGTCATCAACATCGCACTTCGGGTAGAGCGGCTGAAAGATACGATCAAGCGCAAACAAATAAATGATTAAAAAAAGGTCGAGGTGTGTGACCACTGCCAATCGCTCTATTCAGTTGCTATTCCCCCACTGAAATCCATAAATTTATCTAAGACAACTAAAAAACGCCCAAACATCTCATTGTAATCAGTAAACTATGACCTGTTTGCGTTCAAAGGTGAAAGTCCAAGTACACGTTATGTATGTATGTACATACAAGTACATGACCTATATCTGGATTACTCCTATGCACTTGTACGGTGAGGCTAAAACGCAAGCTCTCGCAATACTTTGCGTCCATCAATAAGTCCAAACATTATACATTTTATAATAGTCCCCAATTGAGCTGACATTTTGGCTACATTTCTCTGAATATGACTGTTGTCTTCGCAATGCATATGGTGGCCACACTATAAGCAAGCTATGTGACTATGCGATAGCACATGCAAGTGCATTCTCTATGTACTGGGAACAATGCGTTCGCTCAAGGCACATCTTGCTATATGTGTTGAGACAGCAGAAAGGCAGTAGAGAACAGAGACGAGATAGCAATGTTTACCTTGATCCATCTGTCCCACGTTGACAGGTCAACCTGTGCCAGCTGCCGCTCACAGAGGATCGGTTGGACGTCCGTACCGATCGTTGCAAAGTGCTGGCACCCGGTGCTCTGGCAGTGGGGCTGGGTGTGCAGCTGGCATGGCCTGTCGTGACGGCACAGGCACGCTATGCTGGGATGGAGGAGCAACAGGCGCTGGCCATACAGCTGCTGCAGCTCTCCGATGGCACCGAGAAGAAAGCGGACAACAGACACGCAGTGATCTATTGTCTTCTCCCTCTTGTCGGTGTCGACTGTGATGCGAATGGCGGTGGAAGAATAGGAGAGCTGAAGCTGAAACTCATTCTGGCATCTCATTGACACGTTGAGGCCCATGCGCAAATCCTTCGTCCCGTGCGGTCGGTACTTCTGCAAGCATCGCACGGTGATCCGGGCAAAATGCGCTTGGGTGATGCTCCTTTCTGGATCTTTGCCAACCAGGTAGAGCGACGCTGATTTGGACTCTAGCGCTTGTGACGGCTTACACTGGGCAAGTGCTGGCACATAATACACTTTACACCCTGTAACAAATGGATCAACCTCATCTGCATCATAGACTACGCCATGCGAAGCTAGCAGTGAAAAGAGACTCCGGCGCTGCTCCTGAGATTGCACCAGACCTCTTGTGGCCTTCTTCTGCTCCCATCTGTGAATCGCTAGTGACTCGCACAGAATGCCATCCTTCAGCAGCCTATACTGCTTCCTGAACCCACGAGCTTGCTTGAACAGCGACGGTGCTGGCAAAAGGACAGCCTTGGATGCCAACATCAGCCATGGAGTGCTGGCTAGAACTTGTTTCTGCTCTAGTGCTGCAGCTGCTACTCCTGCTGTGATAGCTTGTGGCTGACGTCGGGACGTGAGTACGGCTTCATCTCTCTTGGCTGCCACCGCTGCTTCAGGGGCTGCTGGCTGTGCTGCTGGTGCTTCTGCCTCCACTGGTGCTGCTTGTGCTGCTGTTGATGCGGGTGGCAGGCCGTCAGGTGGCACAGTGCTTGAAGTAGATGGGAAGTGGCTACCCTCATCATCAAAGACAATGAGATGGCCGAGTGATTGGTTCAGTCTCAACAGACTGGGCACATCCACTTCAGCATCACCGCATGCATCCTGAGCGATGCTGCATACCCTGTCATAGCTCATGATGAACGATGACGTCTCCTGTGCAATCGCCTCTAGTACCTCTGGGAATGGCAACCACGAGATTGGCAGCTTCTCTCTGCGACGGAGCCGAATTACGCTCGCCAGCTCTTCACGCAACTTTGCAACTCCTGGGTCAACCTTTGAGCCAGACAGAGTGTTGTCAACGAAGATGACTCGCTCAATGCTGTCAGTGTACTTCTTGTTGTCAGCTAGTTGTTGGAGTTGTCTCCTTCGCTTGCCAACATCTTCTTCAGTCATACCATCCAGGTGCGTACCAATGAGGTAGATCGGTGCAGTGGCGTTGTCTGTGATTGCTTCGCGGGCTGTACATAGCCATGAGTCGATGACATCAAAGTAGGTACAGGTGGGTTGGTTGATGTTGAGCTGATTGTCCTCGCCATCTTCATCAGTCAGGATATCCGCATACGGTGTACCCAGTTCGATGCTTGCATTGAAGACGACGCAGTACGTGGTGCGCTCGGGTGAGAACACCAGGTCATGCAATGCGTGGAATGGCATCTGCCCTGCCAAATCCCACACATCGATGTGTATGGTGTCCTCATCCAAACCACGAGCCTCATCCAGGCGCTTGAAAAAGTTGCTCAAAGCTGTGCGAACTGCTCCAGCTGCCTGGTGATGGTTAGCGCTTGCGCCGCTGACATTTCCTTGCCGAGAGTAATGAGCTTCAGTGCGCATAACTGTGTTGACAATTGAAGCAGCCAACTGGGCTAGATGGTCTGCCGCATTCGTTGGCTTCAATTTGTACGCACCTTCCTCACTCTCGTCCAAGATGAACGTCAGCTTGTCCATGTCGATGCCTAGCGTGCTTGCGGTCTTTTTGAACTCCTTCTCTGCCAGAGACCTCGCCAGTCCCGTCTTTCCACCGCGACCAGGGCCCATGAGCAGCACACGCTCATGCACGATGTCGGCGACGCAGCTTTTGAACACTTCCTCCCTGTCCTTGCGATCTACATCACACCAACACAACGCAACACGCATCCACATATCACGCAATTGAGAGGGTTTATCTTCTGCACGCAGTGGAGAACCCTTTGTTTCATATCTATCGATCTGGTGGCACAAAGATACCCTGGAAAACAGAGAAACGATTTGCAGAAAACCCACAACCGTTATAATATTATTTCCTGGAAGTCCGATATGAAAGCATTCACACGCAACTCTACTACAAAGTTGTACAGAATGTGCCCGAATACTACGACAGGTTTGCCAATTGAAGCTTGAATTCTTTTCTTCTTCAGAAGGCAGCTGGCATTCCGCAGCCATATTCGACAGCTTGCAGTACGCGGAGCCCAGCGGCTCGGCTTCCTCCGCAAGGCATCGGCTGTGCTAGACCCAAAGCACAGGGCAATCGTGTACCTTGGCTTTGTCCGCCCTGTGTTAGAGTACGGCATGCTGGTGTGGATGAGCGCAGCCCCCACCACCTTGGCCCGCCTCACTGCCATCCAGCGCCGTGCCCTGCACATAATTGGAGATGGATCATACCTCCCGAGCCTCGACATTCGCCGTACCGTAGCAGGGCTCTGCTTTCTGTACAAGCTGCACTTTGTGGAGGGTCCGGAAATGGTGAAAGCCATTCTGCCACCATCAGCAGCTGCACCGCAAAGCCGCATGTCTACTCGTGAGACAACCAGATCTGCAGCACATCATCCATCACAACTCACCAGTATCCTTCCTCCTCAGTCACGAAACAACACGCTCCGCACCTTTTCCCCACTCCCTCATCGCAACGTGGAATCAGCTCCCACCTACCCTTCTGCAGTCGCCCCCTTCTCACAGAGGTATGCACCTTCAAGAAAAATGTCAACGACCACTTGCGGTGCAGCAAGTGGGAGTGGGCCACAGACAGGCTATGATCTCTCCATCACAGCCAACACACCAGCCTAATTATACTGACCGCACTCCAGCTCCCTTCTACCCCTCTTTGATCCCCTTCGCTTAGCCTATGCTATGCGATTATCAGTTCTCTCCATCTTCCTACGGTGCACTGCTTTTACTATTGTTTTGTCCTATCTCAATCTCAAATTCTCCCCATTATCGTTTGCATAGCCGGTGCTTCCCTCTTGGATGCACATGTTTCTCCTATGTATCGACGCACAGGAGTAACGATGATTCCGAGACCTTTCGTCAGAGGAGTTACTTTTGCCCCGCCTTCACTTCCATCCAGTATGCCACCGCCCCCGCTGTGCAGCATCTGATGGTTCTGTGGTATTCAGTAAAAATAAAATAAATAAAAAAGTTCAAGGTCTTTCGGTGATGGCCACTCGGTGCTACCTTTTACTGGAGATCATGAAACTGCTTCTGCACATTTTATTGCAGTCTAGTTAGCCATGGTGTCGAAATTACGCGTGCATACGTTGATGAAGTCACAAGAACTTGCCAATGTACCGTACTCGCGCGAATAGAGCCCTCTCTTGAATAGTGCCCCCCCCCTCGGTCTTGTAACGAAGCCCATGTGTCAGTTTGGTGCTCTTTTGCTAATGTTCTTGGCCATTCCTTTGCACTGGTGTTTTCAGGAACAAAATCGCAGGTCTTGTTCCCGTTTCTGTGGAGTCGTGAGCGTTTACAGTACACTTTAGGCTCTGTATTTTCTTTGTTTTATGCTGGATGACGCAAATTATGCGGCCTTGATATTGATACAGCCGTTTCTAACTTCTCGTCTGTCCTCCTTGATATTGCGGATGCTCTGAATGAGCAGTCTACCAGCTTCTGCGTTAAGGACAGACCTGAATGGTTAGTTCCTCCTATCCACCAAATACCTATAGAGTCAGCGTTTACATCGCTGAAGATTTCATCCCGTACTGTAACCAGATACATATGCAGTCTCCCCAATAAGACGTCTCCTGGTTACGATGGTAGACCAAACGAAATCCTGAAATACCTCCAAGAAAACCTAGCATATCCGTTATCGCTGCTCTTTAACATCTCTCTGTGGTCTGGAATCTTTCCCTCCGCTTGGAAATACGCATTAGTGGTCCCAATTTATAAGCGCAAAGGCTGCCGGTCGGATGCAACGAACTACAGACCCATCTCCCTACTGTGCTGTATTTCAAACTTTTTGAGCGCATTGTGTACGATCAGCTATATCGACACTTGTCCCCGTACTTGCATACCATGCAGTCTGGTTTCCGGCGAGGAGACTCCACAGCTCTGTACCTAGTCCACCTAATCCAGAACATCATGCAGTCCCGACATTTGAAAGAACATACTGGCATGTGCTTCTTTGACCTGGCGAAAGCCTTTGACACCGTTTGGCATAGAGGCCTGATTGCCAAGTTGGGTGCCTATGGCATTGGTGGCAACCAGCTTTGTTTCTTTGAAGGGTACTTAACTGGCAGGTTACACCCTCTCGTCTCCCCAGGCAATTAATTCTGGTGTGCTACAGGGGTCAATCCTGGGGCCACTATTCTTTTTAGTTTACGTCAATGATCTACCGATGTCTGTCCCTAATGTTTCACTGTTCGCCGATGACACCACATTTTCCGCTTCAAGTAGTTGCAGGCAATTGCTAGTTGATGACCTCCAGAAAAAGATAAACTCCACCATTTCTTGGATGTCGACTTGGAAGCTGAGACCGAACACTAGTAGAACCAAAAAGATGTTCTTGTGTAGCGGTGCTAGTGATCAGTTCTGTAATGTGTCTTTATGATGTCCTGGCAGCTCATCGACCATAGAAATTGTCCATGAACATAAGCACCTTGGTATAAATATTGACGACTGTCTAACATGGGTTCCTCATGTAGACTATATTTGCAAGAAAACTAGTAGTGTTCTCGGCATACTATATCCTCATCGTTCTCATTTGCCAAATACATGCCGTTCTATGTTTTATCGCTCGTATCTATTACCTATTTTCCAGTATGCATGTCAGTCCTGGTGTAGTCTAAGTCAGCATCTTGTGAACAAACTTGAAATCCAACAATAATCTCTTCTTAAAAATATTGTTTAATAAGCAGCGTTTATTTCCTAGTCTTGAGCTTTATTGTATCAGCAATACTCAGCCACTGCAAGATAATCGCAAACAGCAGCTTTGCATTTTGATCCACAGAATTCGCCTAGGTAAAATTCCCATTCATCTCTTCGTATTCAATTGGTTTTCTCTGTCCGGGTCCACTCGTAATAGTCTCTCACTTCCCCGTGCTAATTCAGCAACATTTACCAACTCTCCTCTGTTTTTGTCCTACAGCTTTTGGCTGCAACTTCCCTAGCATGTTAAGACATGAAAATGTCTTTCCAGCTTTAAAAATGCACTCCGATCGCAAAATGTAGTACGATAGAATGATAGGATTTCCTTGCTGGATTCTTGTCTATCCTTCTTTCTTCTCTTTTTCTTTACCCCTTTCTTTTCTGTTCTTTTCTTGCCGGGGTTCGCTATCTCCCCTCTCTCGCCCTTTGCGTGCCAATTGGTCATGGACCACGAGTTGAGTGAAATAAATAAATAAATAAATGAACCAGCAATGAAAAAATAGTGCCCTCTCTTGAATAGTACCCTCTCTTGAATACTGCCCCATCTGTGATGGACATTGAAAAATAGTGCCCCAGGGGCACTAATCGCGTGAGTACGGTATCCATCGTATTATTCTATTTGTTTTAATTGTATTTGTCTCATAAGTTTCACAACAGTCAAGCAGATCATCCGAGAAGGACGGGTTGGTATCCTGACTTATTTGCCACCTTGAAGCGAGTACAAGAATGGCGAACGGACCTCGTCTCAAGCTTCAATTTTGGAAAATTTAGGACAATATTTGGTTTGGAATTTTGTCATAGTCTGGCTCCCGGCACCGGCGATCGCCGGCGCGAACGGTTCACAAACCACTTTTGTTCAAAATTGTACGGGATCGGTGCTGGGGCGGATTGCAAGAGTTGGGCACTGCCCAACTTTGTCGGCGGTCCTTTGCAAATATTTACAGTATGATTTTGTTATGACTGCACTGGTTCACAAAATCGCAATGCGCCGGGAGAGGTTGCAAGAGGCTCACCAACGGTTAATCCCGGCGCGTACCGGTGAGATGTGAACTAACCTTAAGGTAGCAGCCTACCAAAACAATTCGCTGAAAAATGGAATTTGTAAATTCATATCGAGTGCTACATCAGTTGAAAGGGTATGAATAGCTGCAAAATCTCTGATAGATCTGTCTCGATCTGACCAGCCGTTCAAGAGTTATGGCGGAAAATGTGCCCTTGCAAGGAAAGACTTTTTGTTGCACACTGTCATTTGTTGGCAGCACTGGATTTGAATGTGAGCAGACCGTGCGCAACTTGTCGTATCATGCTTTCTTGTAGTTGACGAGTGTGGTTGCGAGTTTTTTTTACGTCTGACGTCTTGCTCCCCCAACCGAGAGCATGGCGTCCATTGACTTCGGAATTTTGGATAGTGAAGGCTTGGAGTGTAATAGTTTTACCTTGACACTTCTTGCTTGTCTTATGGTAACACCTTGTGTTCCTACTATTCTCACTCCTGCGGTTCTCGCCTTTCTTTTGCTTTATAACCTCTGGTTTGAACATCATTCGGGGAATTCTCCAATCAATCAACACTACACTGTTACACTGGTAGCTTGAGGATGGTTGAGATCATCGTTTGCCCTTTGACGTGCCTTGTGCTCCTGGCCGCTACTGGTCTGCTATACGCCGCTTTCCGTGAGATCCGCCGCGCTCGGGACAACGTGGCTGCTACAGTTGGACGACATCAATTACCTGCTACATCAAGCTCAAGTCCTCCGGATCTAGCCCCGTGTCGATCGCGTTCTCTCTCCCAGACAAGCCCGAGCGTCAAACGCGTTACCAGAGAACCGAATGTTTTCCATGGCAACCCTTCCGAGTTCAAAGAGTGGGTATTTATGGTCGAGTTAGCCTTGAAGTGCTCACCTCAAGGTGACCCGGAGAGCCAAGTTAACTTTACGGCTAGCTACCTCGCTGGGAATGCGCGTCTTTGGCTAATTTCTTCCATGGAAGCAGGTGAGCAATTTTCGGATTGGCATTCTTTGAAAAGCGCCCTAGCGCGAGTGTATGGCCCTCACTATGACGGGGAAAGAGTGCGGTTGGATATGTTCTCTATCCAACAGCGTGGGTCAATTGAATCGTACGTAACAGAGTTT